AACCTTGCGTTACGACAAGGAAACCTTGCGTTACGACAAGGAAACCTTGCGTTACGACAAGGAAACCTTGCGTTACGACAAGAAAACCTTGCGTTACGACAAGGAAACCTTGCGTTACGACAAGGAAACCTCGCGTTACAACCAAGAAACCTGTGAAGACTAGGAAACCTCGCGTTACGCCAAAGAAACCCCGCATTACGACAAGGAAATATCGCGTTACAAAGAAACGTCGCGTTATAATAAGGAAGCGTCGCGCTACAACCAAGAAGCCTTGCGTTATACCAAAGATACCTATCGTTATAATAAAGAGACCTCCCAATCCACCAAAAAAGCCTGGCCTGAAGCCCCGACGACCAAATTGTAAGAGAGTACCCATCAAATGTAAGATTCCCTGTTCGCCACCAAAAATTAGAATTCCTAATCTACCGCAGAAAACCGAGAGGAGGCCTCTACCCATTCGACCACGTCCAATTCCAAAAAGAAAAGTCAAAGAGCGTAAATCTCCCTGCATGCGAATTTGTTGAAGAACCATACGAGCTCTCTGGAAATTGATGAAGACCCAATGAAAAGAAATTTTAATTTAAATCTTTGATTAATTTTAGTTTTGTTGCTTTTCTTATTTTCATTATATTATAATTGCACTCATTAGAAATTCATAATCGTCAGATAGACTCTCACACATTCATATGTAATCAAATATTAAACAATAATTGCAAAAATCAGCCGATTGAGTTTTCGAAACTAATCGATCAAGTACTGTGCCTCAAATAGAAATCGATTGATTATGTACCTAATTCGATACCCTTAGGGAAAGCAATTATTTTGCTTATCAACTGAGAATACATATTCGCACATAGTCGATAAATATCGCTATACAGACTGTGCCGTATACTTACAAGTCCAATTAAGATTTGATACCCTAAGCCCATTTCAAAATGTATGTAACAGCCATCCATGCTTCCATGCTTCTTATCGACCAAAGTGGATCATTTAATTTCGTTTTATCCATCTATAAAACCATAAACAAAGCTATCCATGAATAAAATTCTACAGCGTGTGTGTTTGTGCGAGCCTTCTTATGTGTGTGTGTTTGTGTATGTGTGTGTGCGCATACGATTTACAACGTTTGTCAAAATGAAGCGTGAAATGATTGAAATAATCGCTTATTGCAGACGGACAGGCCCATCCATAGCACTCTTATATGCTTTTTAACTGAAAGTATTTTCTTTTTGACGCCTCGGAAAAGCGTTCTATTTGTTGTTTCATTGGCTTTTATACTTAATGCTTTGTCTTTGCGACTTGGGCAAGTGGAACTATCTGGCTGCTCATATGGTGGCAGCGAATTCAATCAATTTTCACACCCAATTGGAGACGTCGCCCCGACAATATGCACTCTACGTAATGCGTGGACAATTTGATTTACATAATTCCCATTGATGGCAATCAACTGTTGCTCTCCACGCAGTGGGTCGCACGCCGTAGCTGGCATTGGCTGCCAGTTGCCTTTCTGGCGTTCAACCACCTAAGTCGAACCCTTTTCTGAGGCACTTTTGTCACATTTCCGCTAAGCTGTCTGCCGGCTATCCGAATCTCCCTGCCGCCACCAGGCATAGCCATAACATCTATGCGGCAATCATCCTGACAGCGTTTTCCTCAGCCCATTTGGGGTCCTTGACAATAATTCACGCTTGAATGACGCTTCGTTATTGCTAGTCATTGAACTTTAGTAAATGTGGGCGTGTTAGCTGAATATATATATATACATCTATATGTGTGTGTGTGCGTGCTGCTGGACAAGTCGTGCCATAATCCGAGAGAATTTGCCTCTTATTTATAGCAGCGCCTTCAAAAGGGGCGAAAATAACTCTTGCATTTAATCAATAAAAGCGCACAGGAAAAACATTTTCTGGGCCCACTAGCAGCAACAACAACTGAATAAGAAGAAGATATACAATTAAATAAGCGAAATGCTTTAAGTGAGTCATATTAATTAAACAAACAGACAGAGAGAGAGAGTGTGAGAGAGTGTGAGAGAGAGGGAGAGAGAGAGAGAGATTGAGAGAGGAATGATAGGGAGCGATGATTAAAAGGACTATATCAATTAAGTCAGGACATTTCTGTTAAATTTATTACGCGCATTCATATGCATGAATGTTCTTTTATTACGAATTTAAATTGTTTCATTAAGTGAAATTACTCTGAGCTCTGAATAAAAGTTAAGTCATTCCTGATCAGAAATAATAAACTTCAGGAGCTGGGAATAGTAACTTCTAAAGCTATAGCAGTCTTAAATCATCGATAAATTCATTTACCTTAAATGTATCGATAAGTCGATAAGCAATTAAAGTCTAGCATAGGCGAGAATCGTTGAATATTGATATTTATTTATTTATATATAATAGTTAACTTTAATTAAAATTATAAGCTCACTAAACAACTTAAGATCTGGCTACTAAGGCCTTCAGTGTGCTTATCATATTTTTACATATTGTTATATTTTCTCAAAGTACTTCAGGAAGACTAGTTTAGGTAATTCTCTGACAATTCACACAATGCTGAATGATAGCTCAAATAATATATTTATATAAATAAATAGTTATTAGATGTATATATTGCTTAATTACTTCTTCTCATAGTTAAAAAACATGTTGTCTTCTATCTTAGCCAGAAGTCCAACTTGCTTTTGGTAGTTACTAGGAATAAATTATAGTAGGGATAAATTATAATAATATGTGAATATCAAAATATTTTTTGAATAACCGCGCTCTCAAAGCATTTATTGGACTAAGCTTTTTTATGCCAATAACAAATGTCAACAAATATAAAACTCAATCAAAAATATGTAAAGCTCAAGAACTTTGTATGTGGACCAATGAAAAGCTCTTAGTATAAAAATTTGCATAATTAAAGCTTTAGTGGAAATCTAAATATTTTATAATTAGTTGAAATTTCAAGATGAAAGCTTTGAAAGCTCCAGAGCTGTGCACGCCAGCTTTCATAAGCTTTCAACATTGGGCCATGAATATGCAAGAGCAAGTTGAAAAGCTCACACAGCACAGCTTTCACCACGATGCCATGGTGCGCAATGACCACACCGCGTATAAGTTATTTTACAACCATATATGGCTCTAACTGTAGCCAGGACGGGATTTACGAGCTGGAAGCCAAGCAAAAAAAACAGGACCCAGCATTTACACACACTTACACACGCACACACACATATGCTCATATACATGCAGCTTTGTGTTTGTTTATCGTACGTATGTATGGTAAATAGAGTCAGGGATTCGCATTGCATTGCTTCTTGATATTAAATTGAATAATAAAAACGACTTTATTTCGCTGTTGACCAAACGTTTGGTAGAGTACATTGCAATATATATATATATATATTTTTTAATGAAATAACATCAGTTTTTGCTGCAGCTGAAACTGTTGCTTTACCATAACTTTGCATACATTAATCCATGATTTTACCTCTCTCTCTCTCTTCTCTTCTCTTCTCTTTCACAGGTAAGTTTGTTTCACGTTAATGCACTTCAACTGTAAGTACAAAGTTAGTTTGATAAGCTCTTGCGCCTCTGTCGGGCTGAACCGACTAATAGACTCGCTAAGTTCATTATGGCCTAATTGGAGAACAAGCTCGGCAGCATGCTGAGGTCGCTGTCGAACGCGTGCCTGCAGTTCAATTTGTGATCTCCGGCCGTTCAGCCAAAGGGCAGCTGGCAACATGTTCAATCAATTTTGCTGTCAATCCAGGCTGTCATGCGGCGGTGGCACTAGACTCATACATGTCTAACTAGTGTGTTGCTCCATCGATAACTGAATAGAGCAACGCCAGCCGGCCCCACTGTATGCAACTTAACTAATTTAGCTCTTCGATATTCCAGTCTGAACTGCTAGCTGCAGCCGCAGCTGCGAGCTCAGCGGCAAAATCAACATTTTGTGGCCAAATACAATTAGTTTCTCTTTCAGACTGTACGGCGTTTTAGACAAAGTATTCACTTTGATTAGGGATGCCATAATCGATAAGTGATCCAAGCTAAAGCAATGAGTGCTTGGTTATTACTCTTATTTATTATAATACATATAAAATAGTATTAAAATACATAAGATATATATGCCGGCCAAAAAGAAATATTATAAAATATTATATTTATCGATAAAAGTCGTTCGATAAATTCTCATGTCAACAAACTAAATTTCTATTCTATTTTAAAAATATATTTAAGGCAAACTGAATTAAATTTCTTTTCAAACAAAAATGAAAGACCATAATTAATCATATTTATATTAAAACTATCATTGATATAACTACTTATTCATATAGCCATTGCTCTAGCCATCTTACACATATCCTGTCACTATTCAAAACCTCCATTTGCGACTTTTGATTGTCTATTCTTTTGTGGCATTACGTTGGCACTCATGTCGCACATCTACATACATTTGCCCAACAAGTTCAGCCCCTTTGAGTGCGCGGGCGAGCTGTAAAAGCCGCTTTGCCTAGATTTTTTCTTTTTGAACCCTCGACTCTCTCTCTCTCTCTCTCTCTGTTCGATTCTTGTCTATTCCCCGACTCGCACATCGTGCGCGAATTTCTGACCAGCACAAAACGCTAATGATGCAACAGCCAGCGTATTCTCCAGAGCTGCTCCACACTATGAGTTCTTCTTCTACCCAAAGCGCTGGAGAGATCCATGAGTGGGCGGTATGCCGTTGCGACTGGGCAGCAAAAGAATGCAGCAAAGCAGAAGCTGCACCGCCTCAGCAAAAATGATGGAATGAGTGAAACGGATTGTGTCAGATGTTGCAAATGTTGAATAAGTGATGGAGATTATTATTACACATCCATGTACATATATAGATATATGTAACAATTATTGTGTGTATAATCGTGTGTTGAGTTTCAATAGAGTATTGAAAATCTAGCGATTGAATTACGTGCAAGCAACTTTAAGCAGCTTTAAATATTAATGAGGACATTTAATCACCAGCGTATGCGGCTTGCCATTGTCAATGTGCTTCCCGGACTCTTCTTCTTGCAGGGGTGTTGCGATTCTGTAAAGATTTTGTAACCAGGATGCCATACTGCTTCGGGACAGATTATCACGTTTCTTGACATATGTGTGTGTACACATATGTATATGTGTGTAATATACTTTTTATCTATAGATAAATGGTTAGATATACAGCTAAGTGTATCAGCTATGTTTTATTATTTATTAAGCTTGACTTGAAGCTCTTGGCTGAGCAGCGGAGTTGGCTTGTCCAATCACTTAAAGAAGGAGAGACAACTTTAAATTCAATATCAAGCATTTGATTATCTATGCATATAGTTAAAGAATTGATAACGATTTTAGAGAAAAAGCTCCATGCATGCTAAGAAGATTTGTACACCTGAAATTTTGTGTATGAAAATGTTCTTCTGGCTAAGAAGCTCAGCTGAATCCATGATATGTACATTGAGCTAAAGATTATTTAGTTGATTGGGTCTACTAGTAATACCATAGCTTTTCTCTCTCTTTTTCTCTCTCCCTCTCACTCTCCCTCTCTCCTCGCGCTGCCTCTCCAAATGCAGTTGGGGGGCGAGCTCAGTCCAAGGTTAAACTGTGCCCTGTTGCCGCCGCCATGAAAACTCACAAGTGTAACATTTGCTGCCCATTGGTTGGTTTGTTGTTTGTTTAATTAGGTAATCGGCTTCTGTTTGCACTTGCAGTTGCATTTCAACAATGCAGCGCCCCGGCCAAAACTGGGTAGAGAGTGCGTGCGAAATATGAACTGAAACTAGTTAACTAGTTGCAGGATTTATTTGGTGTTTAATTGGATTCGACTGGTGCGCAGGGAGTCGTCAATTGCATTCGCTGATAAATGCTTGTTTAGTTTGTTAATCATACGCCGCGTTGCACAAACGCCAATGCAGCGCTGCCGCACACACCCAAAGCCACAGCCAGCGCCATCATCTCATCCATTGGTCATTGGCGACTGGGATTTGGCAGCCGACTGCTGCTGCTTGTGCTGGTGTTTGTGGTGTTGGCCACAGTCACATCATTAATGCCGCCAGAGGCAGCCAACATGTTGGCTAGAAAAATACACTTGGCAACATGTTTGCTTGGCCCGGACGGCCGTCAAAATCCGTTTCCGTACTGTGCTAAGACGCTGGCCACAAATTTTGTTTTCATTTGCGGCAGCTTGACTCAATGATTTGTTTCACAAGCAGCAGCTTTTGATCTGTCTGAAAAGCATTTATCAATTTCTGAGAATATGCGCACAATGAAAAGCATTTGGATTTCTCAGAATTTCTCTCAATTCATATATGTATAAAAATATCTGATGTCCACAGCAATTAAGACAAAAACAAACTATCTGACAGAGCTTCAAGCCGCCGCATGCCTCAAATGCTTGCTGGAACAGTAAAAGCCAAGACTTGCAGGCTGGCATTCGGTGTCAAAGACTGCCCCTGACGGCTCCATCAGTCTTCTAATGTTACCTCAACATTTGCTGCCCACTGCCACGCCCATTGAGTTGACAGTGGCCAGGCGAAGCGGACATTTCTCTTGCAGTAATAAAATATTTCAATTATATATGATGCTGCACACACATCGTGTATGCATTGCTCGACTAGAGAGAGGTTAAAGCTTCAAATCCTTACTACAGTTATTTCAAATATATATATATATATTTGTATTTTGCACCACTGTGCAGCATGTTGCTAAGGGTTACGCAGGTGCTGCTGCTCCTGCAGCTGCAGTTTATTTATTTGCTCTTATTGCTTTTGCCCGCTTTGTTTGGCCTTTTCGCCGTTGCCTACCAATTTCGTGCGCCAGCCTAACGAAGGAAAAAATCGTTTATATACCCTGTAAACACACGCCAAGGGGAGTTTCAAATGTAGACCAAAGAGTTAACTGAAAGTAAGCAACATAGACGGCCGTAAAGACTGATATGATGTGACTTCGAGTAAATCGATAAATAGCGATATATCGATATATTATTTACTTTTATCATAATCGATTGGTAGACAAATAACAGACATTTATTATTGAGTATGAACACAGGGTATCTCTAAGTCGATCAAATTTAACTCTTGTTCAGTTGCAAGGATTCTGCAGCAGCCAGGCAGCAAAAGCTGGAAAGGCAAATCGATAAATATCGATAAATAGTGTTCTATTAGATGAGTCTCGTATCAAATCTGAGGCAGAAAAGTACTTCAATAGGATATTACTAAACATAGGGCATGTATAAAGTCCATCAAGCACAATTGTTTTCCACTTACAAGGATTCCTCTTTCTGCTTGATTTTCCATTTTATTTTCTGTTATTTTTATTTTTTTTTTTTTGGGAGCTGCCAAAGCTGAACACCCAAAGCCAAAGCCAAAAAACAAAAAACAAAACAAAAAAAAAGGGAAAAAGCTGGAGGAGCTGCAGCAGCTGCTGCACTTTCACTCATGGCCCGCCCGCTGGTTCGGTGCGCGACGCTCGCAACATGTTGAAAGCGAACGTTTGGCGAGCCGAAGCGCCCGGCCGAGCGGCGCGTCGTTTGTGGCTCGTCGCAAGACACGAACCGCTGCCGCTTGTCAGTTGCGTAGCAAACGTCTAGCGTGAAGGTTTAGCAGCAGCGACTAAAGCGAGCCCAAATAGCAGAGCCGCCGGCAGTAGCAGCAGCAGCAGCTAACTAGCAGCAGCAGCAACAGCAGCAGCAGCAGCAATAGTAGTAGAAGCAGCAGCAGCAGCAGCAGCACGTGCAACCAACAGCAGCAACTGCTGCAATCAGCAATCGTATAACCAACAACCAAACAACAACCACGCGCTCGTGTCTAAAGTCGAGTGTTTTACCATTTCTAGCCGCCGTTCGACTACTATATGGTATATATATATATATACAATTTTTTTTGTGTTTTTGTTTTGTTTTTTTTTTTTTTTTTTTTTTTTTTTGTGTGTCGCGTGTTGAGTGCAAAAGGTGCTTGAAAAGCAAATCAAAGTGCACAGCCCTGGAAATGTAACGAGTGTGCGTGTGTGTGAGTGTGCGTGTGTGTGTGTGTGTATGTGTGAAAGCGAAGCCAATGAACGACTCTCAAAAGACACTTGCAAACACGAGCAATTAGTGCAGCAGCTGCAGAACTTGTTGCAGGGCAGAGAGAATCCCAGAACACCTAACGAATCACTTAACGAGAGAGATCGAGATTTTTTGGTGACTTTTGTTGTTGTTGTTGTTGTCATTGTCGGCCATATAAGTGAGCCATGTGTGGCAATGTGGCCCATATATGGCTGTTATAGTTTATGTTTATGGCCCAAGCCAGATCTGTTGCGATTATCTCCGTTGGGCTCTCGTGGGCGTTTGCCATTTATTGCAACAAATTAATTGCTTTTATTGATTGTTGTTTGTTTAGCATAAAACTTAAGTCGTCCAATGTGCGAGTGGGAGAGCGAAAGAGAGAGAGAGAGAGAGATGAAGCTAAAGCGCACGTGTGTTTATGCCGTATTACGCGTATTATCGCTTGATCTACAACGTTGTGACTTTGGTCAGGTGGGGGGGAGCCCACAGATAAGGCAAAAAATTCAATTAATCACTATGATTAATGCTAGCACAGCCAAATAGCCAAATGACACGGCACACACAGCTTCCGTTCCAGCTGAAATTTGAATCGGGCCAACGGCCCAACAGTTGTCAAGCGGCGTGCAGACCATTGGCTATGACTCAAGGAAATCAAAATCAAAAGCCTCGCAAGCACAAGCGACAATCGTTCATATCACTTGCTATCAATTAGCGCTATGAACGCGTCAGCGAGGGCAGCCGGCAGAAGAAGAGGGCCCAATTGACATAAGTAGAGTAACTAGAGTAGCGATAGACTTTGTTCACATTTCACTAATAGCTGTGGTGCTGGGTGGTTGCTGGTTGGTGGTTGCTGGTTGGTGGTGGTGCGGGATGAGGCCGAGGGCCTCTTACTGTCAGCCGAGAATGCGGCCGAATGTCTAAGAATTTTTGGCAGCAATCAAAATTATTGGACGGCCACCAAAACAAAAGAAACACTAAACCAGCAACAACAACAACAACACGAGTGCGAGAACAGCGACAATGTCTAGCAAAATTAACACATTTTATGCGCCAGCCAAAACTATTTAAAAATATTCATCAAGCGAAAAATGAAAAACGAACCATGAACAACTTTCGGCAAGCAGCGCAGGCAAACGCTGCAGGCGAAATACCCTGTACAGATTGCAAGTCATGCTGGCAATGCAAAAGAGTTTTACGATACTTTTTTATTGAGCAGAAATCATTGGAAAATTAAAAACAAAAATAACTATAAATATATGCATATTTATTTCTGTATATACTATAAATTATACATTACTATATTTATATGTGTGTATTTGTCTGTATATAGACATTATCTCCCATAAAATGTCACCTTGGGCTAAGCCAAAATCTCCAAAAAATTCTATCTTATCTCACACAAAACAAAAGAGGAACAAAATTGATTAAAAAGTTTCCATTTCAATCGGCTTAAGCCACGCACTCTACGCTTAGATAATATCGATATTCAACCATGACTACGAGCACTAATCTAAACTAATCTAAAGTGATTTTCCAATGCCAATTTTAGAAATTCTAAATCTAAGCACTTGAGTGCTTAGAAGTGTTCCATATAATTCTCACTGTTTACCAATCCCCCAAACATATTTAATGCTGATGATAATAAAAACTCTTTAAAATTTCAACTCAGCAAATGTTTTATAAAGTAACATTTAAATCAGGCCAAATTTGAGTCCCCTAGAGACAATTTCAGACTCATCGAGACTTATCTTTTCAAGTCTTCCGAGAATGCTCTATACCCATGAAACAGCTCTTATCACATCAATTGCAAAATTAGTTTATAATCCCAATTTATCACAATTCAAAGCACATTATCAGAATTGTCTTATAAAAGGGAAAGTAGTCTCAGCACTTGTCTGCTCCATGCCGAGAATGATGTAGATAAAGCAATGCCTATCATTCAAAGTGAGCTGATTGTAGAGTCCAAACTATATGCCAATCGCTGTTATCCCAAGACTAAATATAAATTGAATACTATATTATATAGAGAGAGAGAGCGAATATTCTAAGGAATTAATAGAAAGCGATAGCATATCTAATCTAAAAGCTATTTTCCACGACTATAATCCATCAACATATTGAGTAGTGTCTCAGAGAGAAAGCAGTTTCAACTCTTTGCATTTCTATGCAGCAATTTATTTATTTAAAGTAGTGTCAAATCTATTTTCTAATCCCAATTCATTATTTGCTCACATAGAAAATCCAGTTGAGAGACTTTTAAATTGCTTTCGTACTGCTCTCATAGTCAGCGCCAGCTTTTGTCTATTCACATAGTGCAGGGTATACGACAGTATTATGGGAATTCATCAAATACGTACATACATATGTGTGTGTGTGTGTGTGTGTGTGTGTGTATTATATATATTTTTTGCGGTTATGCTAAGTGCTTGTATATAGAGCATAATTAAAGCAGGCCGCAGTGCAACAAAGTGCGTGTACTTCTGGCTGACAGCATATTGAGTTGTTGGGTAATACGTAGCAAGTGTGTATGCGTATGTATCTCTCTCTCTCTCTCTCTCTCTCTGTCCCACTAACCATCCCCCACTCACTCTCACTCTAAATCTGTGTATGTGTTTGTGTATCTATGTGCAGCTGGGCTTGGGCTTAGAAATTCATTTCGGTGGCCATTAGACGTGAAACTTATTTATTTATAAAACACAACACAGAACGCGCAGTCGAGTGTATGAATTCAGTGCTCTGCAACAGCGAAGACAACAAGCGACAAAAATTTAACGATAAATATATAAATAAAAATAAAAATAAACCAAAAAGGCAAAAGCAAAGGCAAACCCAAAGGCAAAAGCTGGCCGAAGCCGAAGCCAAAGCCAAAAAGGTGCAAAAACCAGGACATTAAATATTTAGAGAAAAATTAAAATAAATAAAAGCACAGCAAATACAACAACAGCAACAGCAACAAAAACTAAAATAAAATAAACAATATATACATTGTGCTCACACACACACACAAACACCATTCTCGCATTCTCGCTCTCGCCCTCGCTCTGTGTATTAAAATTAATTCTTTGTTTTCTACTCTTTGCGCGTTAATTTCAACAGTTTTGCGCGACTTTGTTTTTTGCTTATCAAATTCCACAGAAATACACCGAGAAGAGAAAACAAAATAAATCTGTAATAAATAAACACACGCGTATGTAAAAAAAAAATAAAAAATAAAAAAAGGAAAACAGCGAAAAAAATAAAATAAAATAATAAAATAAAAACATAAGCAAAAGCAATTAAAAACGAAACAAATTTTGCCGTTAGTCAAGTGGGGGCAAACGCCCAACGTACACGCAACTCGACCCACCAACAAACATAACAAGCAAATAAAAATAATATAAAAAAAAAAAAATACAAAAAAATATAACAACCAAAAATACCTGAAAAAAAAAGAAAAGAACAACAACAACAACAAAAACATTTAAATCAAATCAACAGCATCCAACGAGAAGAGGAAGAAGTCAAAGCCGCGGAGCAGCAGCCGCAGCACGCACAATCAACGGAAAATAAAGGTAAATTTCACAGCAGCGTAACAGAAGTTAAAAACAAAAAACAAATTATTTATTATAATACATTTAAAAAAAAAAAAAATACAGAGAATTTTTTAATTAGTTTCAAATTAAGTACGAAACTACAAATTGCAACTGTAACTCAAACTCAAACTCTGAATGCGAACACAAACTGAACTAATGCAACGAGAAAACTCGAGGAGAGTCAAAGTCGGGCACGTTGCGCATACGCCGCGTGTGCCGCAAACATTTGTGCTCTGCATGTTTACATTAACTATTTGCTTTCTCTTTTTTAGGGGGTGGGGGGGGGAGGTACTACACTTAATTCAATTCGTTTGCCAGTTCAACAAATTAAAAGCCTAATGCGTTTACCTAGCCCAAAACAATTGTTGACACGGTCGCGCTGACGATTTGCCAAATAATTTACATATGATTTATATATTTGCCCATTGCACATTGTCTGTCAACGGCGAGCGCAAATCAGTGTGTGGGATCTAGTTGAGTGCATAGATTTATGGGCGAATGCAAATGCTCGGCACGTAATTGCCGGGGGGCATTTAAAGCACATCATCAGCACACAACAGGCTCGACAAAAGTTCAATTCAATTCTCTCGCTTGTCAATGAAACATAACAGAAATGGAAAATATAATAATAATGCAAGTGAGAATCGGGTGTTAACGACCGCACAATACTCATTCAACAGAATCAAAAAAGTTCAATTCAATTCTCTCGCTTGTCAATGAAACATAACAGAAAAGAAAAATATAATAATCATACAAGTGAGAATCGGGTGTTAACGACCGCATAATACTCATTCAACAGAATCATTTTCCATTACAGCACGCCCCTATTCGGCATTGCTGCATATATTGTTGGGCAAATGTATAGAGAACAGTAATGTAGTTTGAAGATATCTTAGCTGCTAGCTCTAAAAGTGTAGAGCCGCTTAGCCACGCCCCCCATGATTGTATATATGTATGTATATCCGCCATATCTTGTCGAACTTGTGTTTTTACTGCGAGCATACATGCCATATTCCAACTCTCTTCAAAATGCATATGCCACGCCCTTAGTGGGCGGTTCGAGATTATCAAGAATATCATTTAAAATTATTATTTTTTTTTTTTTTATTTTAATACTTTTTCTTATACAAAAAATTAAGCAAATCTTTGAACAACTATAAAAAAATAAACAAAAAAAATTCTATATTTCGAGGTTAAAGCATAGATATGCTTTGCACTCATAGGGACTGGCCTGGTTCGACAACAAAACCCACATACTCCTTTCACATTCGCGAATGAGCATGAACGGAGAAGAGAAGGAAAATAAAGATATTTAACACCGCGGCGACAGGTTGACAGCGTGCGTCGATATTTAATAAAGCTCCAAGTTAGCCTGTCAATTTCCAGATGTCGGCGCTGCGGCTGCCACATAGAGGACATTCATACAAACCTAAATACATACATAGATATGTGTGTATATGTGAGAAGACTTATTAGATATATGTGTGTGTGTATAACATTTTGATTTCGCATCACGCATCAATTGAAAATGCTCATTCAGGCTGTGTCTGAGCATTTGAAAGCAAACATTAAATCCTTGAATTGCCATTCAATTACGAAATAAATTTTCTATTTATTTTGAAAGCTGCTCGGCATTAGATTTGCAATTTCTCATACAATATGCCCTCGGCACTGGCTAACATCTTAATTGCTCGACTAACTTTTCACGCCGGGAGCCAGAGAGATTTGTTATGGCATTAGCAGGCTGTTAAAGTTAAGCTGTCGCTGCTCGAATTGCCTCGAGTGCAGCGATTGCAAGTAATTCAATCAGCTTGTGTGTTTAATAAGGGCTGACCGTTAAGCGACAGATAAGTGTGTGTCTATGTGTATGGGCGGGTGTGTGTGTGCATCAATAAATCATTTAAAAAGATTAATTGCTTTGATTTCAACTAATTAGATGCAATTAATGGAGCATGTGTGCACTTTCTATGTGTGACTTTAATGGCGACACACACACACACACACTCATACTCACACTCACACACACACACATGCACATGTCTGGCACTCGAATGGCATTTGTCTGCGATACCCGCAAACACTCAGTTGCACTCAGACGTCAAGCTAAAGCGCCACTTGAGTGACTCGCACACACACACACACACACACACAGCACACACACACACACACTAGCTCGCACATCATGTGTGGCAATGCAATTGGTGCAGCTTCTTCTGTCGCTTGCTGATGATAATGCCGTTGATGGGGCAGATAATTGCCGCCCAATTGCCTTGGAGCTCGCACAATGCCACACAGATAAATTCGTCCAGCAGCCGTGCGAATGCATTTGCCATTTACCATTTACCATTCGCTCTTCTTTTATGGCCAGTTGCCTTTTGGGCTAAAACTAATCACGCTCGGAGCAATGCGACACGTTTCATAATCGTCGCGCTGACGCTGCGAAAGCTGTTTAAAGCGTTTACGCGGCGGGTCTTAGGCAGGGCCGATAAGATAATAGCGCACCCACGGACGCCGTTGATACACCGATAGGCTATGGACACCAACAACAACTACAACAACATAATAATAATAAAGCAAAAAAAAAAAAATAAATAAAAATAAAACAGCAGCAACTTAAGTCTCGCAAGTCTCGATTGCTGTTTCGATTGGAGCATGCATACATATGTATGTATGTATGTAGAACAGCTCCGTACATTGTTAATGCGTGTATCGAAAATATCTCTGATTGACGTATACACTAATTAATAATAGGCGACATTCTGGCTGTGCAGCACACGAACTCTGCCCACCTGCCTCTCGCTCTGCATTGAGATTTGAATTGCTTGATAAGTTGCGACACAATTGTATTCGTGCATCGATAAGATTTGAGATAAAGTTTTTAGCTTTAAACAATATGCCATCATCTAAATATAGCACGGCCAGAGGTGTGTCTACTGTTCGACGTGACTGTGCGACACTGCCAACTGCCAACGGGCCAGCTGAGGCTAAGGCGTTACGTGTCGAGTCGTGTCGTGTCGTGTCGCGTCGTGTCGCGTCGTGTCGTGTCGTGTCGAGACACCCTGCACTTATTTCAAGTGCCCAACACTCCAGCGACCACTTAAAGGATTTGCATTTACACACAGTGTCAATTACTGTTATGCAATTGCTACCCACTCTCTCTCTCTCACTCTCCCTCCCTCTCTCTATCGCTCTCGCCTTATCGCTGTGCAAATATATTTTGCAGCTGATTGGCAAATTAAGACAAATTTGATTCGAAATTGTTCAACTTTTGTTTGCAGACATACAAATACATATAGAGTATATATATAAATATCTAGATATACATATGTATCTATAGGACTTATGTGTATGTACCTAACATCTATTGAGGTTTCGCCTGTCACACACACACACACACACACCCACGCACTTTGCCATTTCCTTTAACTCTCCGGGCTTTAGTTTTTCTTTCTTTGTCGCATTTGAGGCTAATGTGAAATAGTCAAATGTTATGCAATTGCAACGGCTCAACAACAGTTGCATTTGACTTGTGGCTACGGCTCTACATACATATGTAGCTGCAACTGCCCAAAGGTTTTGCTTTGGCTCACTGCTGACACTCGCATAGATTGCAGCGTTATGCAAGCAATTTAATTGGCCTTCAGAAAAACACATTGAGCACTGAGTTTTCTCTATTTTCTTTTATTTAAAGAAATATTGCGCATGAAATGCTATCAAAAATCTATTGCAAAAAAAAAATATAACTTTTTGTTATGCAGGCAAATAATTGAGGCTCAGACTCTAAGAGCTGAGCATGAAGTGAGATGCTGCATTACTTTTTCTTATTTATTTAAATTTCTTTATATTCTCTTGATTTATTTACTCTTGGGGTTTTCTAAGTAAATCGAATCAGGTATCATACTCTGCCAACTTTTTTTCCCAGCCTCTTCAAGTCTTAACTTCAGCTGTTGTTCAACCTTGTCCTTCCATGACCTCACCTAATCACTCGGCATGAAAATGACGAAGTCAGAAATATTTTCATTGTCATAAACTTTGCCATAGATTCGATTCATTGAAAATAATCACAAGTCTTAGACAAGCCAAGCGCAACATCTCTCAAGACTTAGCTAACACTTCGAACTGGTTCAACTTTCTGGCATATGAATGGCAATTGAGAAATCTTTAAGAACAATTTGGGCAACCCTCGTTAGATCAACATATGCAAGACTTTTGAAGTACACCTCGCATATAAATACATATGTCACGATCTAACAAATCCATTTGCTATAACTGTAGACGAGTCCTACATGCTTTATGCTGGCGTCTATATCCAATACTCCTTAAGCGCACCTCGCACACATGCCACGCCTTATTCAATGCATATCCCTTAGACAACATGCTCTATATTAAATGCCTCTTAAACTACCTCCGCTCAATTGGCGCTCACAACCAACCCGCCAACTTGCCGAACAGCCCTCGCCTGCGATTGTTATGAATCTTCTCTGTGTGGTAAGCCCTCGCACCCAACCTAACTGAACGGAAGGCAATTAATTTGCAATAATTATGCTACACTTATTGAAAGCATTGCCTTGACATTC